CCCCAAAACCCCAAAACCCCAGAATTGAAATTTGATTGGATTTTATACAAAGGATAGTAATTAATAATTTAAATAAATAAATAAATCTAATTAAGTTAAACTTCTATTATGATTTCCCCAAAGGCTTGCTCACAGATCACTAAAGAATTATTTCCTCTTTTCCTGGTCGATCATGTTTTGACTCTTCTTGATTGAGTTGTTCTTAGGGTTAAGCTTTTTATCCTTCTTCTCGTGTTTATCTTATTCCATACTCATGTCACTATCATCACTGTCATCACTATCATCGTCACTGGAATCATCTTCCCAATTCTCGCTATCTGAACTTTCATCGCCATCTTTTTTCTCCTCATCATCTTGCATGTCTTCATCGCCTGCAGCCTTATTTTTCTTTGACCTCTTCTTTCTCTTAACTCTTGGGTTTTCCTAAATGTCTTTTTCATACCCCTCAAAGTCAAATTCTTCTTTCAGTCTATTATTCAAATGAGACACATCAATAATCTTGATTATATCATCTAAAGAGCATGAGGCAAGGAACATTTTATCATGTGAGAGTGCGACTCTCTATATATGAAACACATCTTCATCTTGATCAGTTGGATCACTTAAGATTGCAATAATTTTGTTGGGTAGCACACTTACAGCTCTGATTAGACCATCTTCACTTCCAGTGATTATAGTGTCTTCATCATACGTGATCATGGTATCAATAGAATTAGGATGCCCTACAATCCTATCATTGCAATCACCGAACCAGTCCCATGAGAATATATTAACTACTCCTTCGGATGAAGATGCCAATACTTTCTTTCCATACTTGCAGATGACAAGAGCTGTAAGGTCTTCCTCAAAATTATCAGACATAGCATAGAGTTCACCTTTCTTGAGATCAAACACTCCTAAATGTCCGTCTCCTGAAGCTGATACTAGCATGTTATGATTTTGAGCAAATTTCATATCGCTAATGGTGCCTTCGTGTTCTTAGAATTTCATTACACAAGCTTACTTGAGATTGTTTTGTCCGGCTACACGCAGGTCCCAGATCTTAATGAGACCATCATCATCTCCTGTAGCAACGATATATCCATTTTCGATATGGGCAATAGAATTAATAGGGGATGAATGAGCATTCAACAACTGACCTTCAAGAACACCATTTGACACCACACCTATTGACCCATCGCTTGAACCTGTGTAAAGTATATTGCCATCAGGAGAAAACTTAACCTATCTACAGGACTCAGAATGATAAGAGAGATTGACATGTTCCTTGGTCTTTTTCTCGTTATATGTGAAGATTCTCACATTACCTGTTACCTAAGAGGCAGCTAAAACATTGGCTACAGGTGAAAATTAGATGTCCATAATGTGATCTTCAAGATAAACATCAGGTGGTTCATGCTTGAGCTATTAATTGTATTTTGCTTCTTTCGCAGGAATAATTGATCTTGACTCCATAATATATCAATTAGTATTAAATATTACCTACTTATATTTTCAACTACTAATATCAATCGATATTCTGGAATGGAGGGGTTTTGGGGTTTTGGGGTTTTGGGGTTTTGGGG